TCACCTATGGAATGGGAGAATGTATTTGCAAATGACATATCCCATAAAGGGTTAGTATACAAAATACATAAAGAACTTATAAAACACAACACTCAAGAAACAAATAATCCAATTTAAAAATGGGCAGAAGGCATGAACAGGTATTTCTCTAAAGACATCCAGATAGCCAACAGACACATGAAAATATGCTTATTATCACTTGTCGTCAGGGAAATGAGGATCAAAACTACAATGTGATACCACTCATACCTATCAGAATGGCTAAAATCAACATCAGAAACAACAGGTGTTGATGGGGATGTGAGAAAAAGGAATCCTCTTGCATTGTTGATAGGAATGCAAACTGGTGCTGCCTCTGTGGAAAAACAGTAATCGCAGTACTAGGTATTTAACCAATAAATACAAAAATGCTAATTCAGAGTGATACATGCACCCCTATGTTTATAGCAGCATTATGTACAACAACCAAGATATGGGAGCTGCTCAGGAAGTGTCCATGGATTGATGAATGGATAAGGAAGATGATAGATATATATATATCATATATATATATTATATACGATGTATAATATATTATTATGTTATATTTGTGTGTATATATATGTGCATATATACACACAATATGTGTATATATATAGCATATATATATAGTGGAATATTATTCCCACATAAAAAAAATGAAATCTTGCCATTTGCAACAACATGGATAGAATATGTGAAATGCTAAGTGAAATAAGTCAATCATAGACAAATACCATATAATTTCACTATTATGTGAAATTAAGAAACAAACAAATAAGCAAAGGGAATAAAAGAGAGAGGAAGTGAGTTAAAGCAAGAAACAGACTCTTAATTATAGAAATAACAGATGGTTACCAAAGAGGATGCATGAAATAGGTGATGGAGATTAAGGAGCATACTTGTGATGAGCCCCAGGTGACGTGTGTTGTCAAATCACGATATTGTACCCATGAAACTAATACAACACTGTATGTTAACTGAGATTAAAATAAAAACTTCGAAGGAATGAGTAAAAAATCTCTTTAAAACATGATCAAACTATTGAAATATTATGAAAAATAACTAAAGAACTAAATAAATGGAGAGATAACTATATCCATAGATTAGAATGCTCAGTATTATAAAGATTATGACTTCTCACCAAATTTATTTACATATTTAATACAGTTGAAATTAACATTGTAAAAGATTTCTTCCTGGAATTTTGGTAGGTTCTTTCTAAGATATATGTATATGGAAATACAAGGCCCTGTAATAGCCAACACAGTCCTGAGGTTTTAAAAAAAAATGGCAGTAGTTGCTCTATTGGCTGTCAAGATTTATTATAAAGCTACAGTAATTAGCCATGCTTTACTGGCACAAAGATTAGAACAGAATTTAGAAACAGATCTATTCATTTATATATACTTGATTTGTGGAAAAGGTGTCCCTGCAGAGCTGTGGAAAAAGGTGGTCTTTTCAATAAATGGTCTTGGAAACATTGGATTTCCACATAGAAATAAGAAAAATAAACTTGACAAATATTTCACACCGTAAAAAGTTAATTCTGGGGTCAGTGCTTATGGATTTAAAAGTGAGTGGAAAACTAATATCGATTCCAACAAATAGTATAGTAACATATCTCTATAACCTTAGAGTAGGTAATAATATCAAATAGTACACAAAAATCCCTAGTCATAAAGATAAAAGTGATTAATTAGAATGTAATTAACATTAGGGAAATCAATTCTTCAACAGTTTCCTCTCATTAAGACAGTAAAAAATAAAACCCTCAAATAGAAAATGCCATTTGCAAATTTTGTGAATAGCGAACACCTTTTATCCCAAATGACTAAAAGTATTGACAATCCCTATTGATGAAATGTTCACACACTGAAGGGAGAATTTATATTGTGATACCTAATTTGAAAGACTGAAAATTTTACTGAATTTGAACATGTAAAAGAAGGTTTGGACAGCATTTTTTATGATAAACAAATGCTGCCAACAATCCAAATGTCCTTTACGAGGTGAATGGATGCGTGGATATTGGTATATTTACACAACGGAACGCTCTACGACAGTGAAAAGAATGAACTGCTACTACGTGCAACGTCATAGGTGTATCTCATTAACAAGAGTAAATGAAAGATGCTAGGTACAAAAACTGATGTACGATAGAATCCCGTCTGTTAAGTGTAAAAAAAAAAATACAATAATTTTAAAGAATTTATGCTAATGTGGTAAAATATTAATTTAAAAAGGATATGATGGGACACCTGGGTGGCTCAGTTGGTTAAGCCGCTGCTTTCAGCTCAGGTCATGATCCCAGGGTCTTGGGATCAAGTGCCACATCGGGCTCCTTGCTCAGTGGGGAGCCTGCTTCTCTCTCTGCCTCTGCCTGCCACTCTGCCTGCTTGTATGTCCCCCCCCACCGCCCCCCCGACAAATAAATAAAATTAAATCTTTAAAAAAGAAGATTTAAAAAGGATATGATTACCATTAAAAGGTAGTTATTCTTTCCCAGGTAGAAGGAAGGTGGAAATATTGAGGAGGAAAGAGTTCTCCTTGGTGGAGCTGATATTGAGTGGTAGTTACGGGATTGTTTATTTGTTGAAAGTCATCAAACTGTGTATTTTTTTGTTTTTTTTTTCAGTGTTCCAAAATTCATTCTTTATGCACTTCACCCAGTGCTCCATGCAATATGTGCCCTCCTTACTAGTCACCACTAGGCTCACCCAGCCCCCCATCCCCCTCCCCTCCAAAACCCTCAGAGTCCACAGTCTCTCATGCTTCTACTCACTCTCCAATTTCCCCCATCTCACTTCTCCTTTCCATCTCCCAATGTCCTCCGTGTTATTCCTTATGCTCCACAAGTAAGCAAAACCACGTGATAATTGACTCTCTCTGCTTAACTTATTTCACTCAGCATAATCTCCTCCAGCCCCATCCATGTTGATACAAAAGTTGGGTATTCTCCTTTCTGATGGAGGCATAATACTCCATTGTATATATGGACCATATCTTCTTTATCCATTCGTCCGTTGAAGGGCATCTTGGTTCTTTCCACAGTTTGACGAATGTGGCCATTGCTGCTATGAACACTGGGGGACAGATGGCCCTTCTTTTCACTACATCTGTATCTTTGGGGTGAATACCCAGTAGTGCAATTGCAGGGTCATAGGGAAGCTCTATTTTTAATTTCTTAAGGAATCTCCACACTGTTCTCCAAAGTGGCTGCACCAACTTGCATTCCTACCAAATCAATAAAAGAAGAGAGAAGAACCACATGGTCCTCTCAATTGATGCAGAAAAAGCACTTGACAAGATACAGCATCCGTTCCTGATTAAAATGATTCAAAGTATAGGGATAGATGGAGATGGAACATTCCTCAACTTCATAAAATCTATCTATGAAAAACCCACAGCAAATAATCATCCTCAATGGGTAAAAGCTAACAGCCTTCTCTTTGAGATCAGGACACGACAAGGATGTCCACTCTCACCACTGTTGTTCAACATAGTACTAGAAGTCCTAGCAACAGCAATCAGACAACAATAAGAAATAAAAGGTACTCAAATTGGCAAAGAAGAAGTCAAACTCTCTGTCTTCGCAGATAACATACTTTATATGGAAAACCCAAAAGACTCCACTCCCAAACTACTAGAACTCATACAGCAATTCAGTAATGTGCCAGGATATAAAATCAATGTACAGAAATCAGTTGCTTTCTTATATACTAACAAACTGCATATTTTTGTTTTATATTTCTCTATATGTATATTTCATTTCATAATATAAAATATTAAAAAGTAAAGCATAGAACATAATTAATAAAAATTAATTCTGTTTTAAAATAGAATTTTTTTCTGTCAGAAATTACCCAGATATTGATTTAAAAAAAAAAAAACTAGTCTATGCTAACTATATAGCATTATTTGAGAAGGTAAAAATTTTTAATATTTTATTCACAGAAAGATAAGTCACATTACTTGAATGCAAACAAGTCATAAACCATTACCCTGTTTTAACTGAGTTTAAAGTACTTCATAAAAAGTATTTGCTTTTTTGTATAAAAATATTATATTCAATTTTAAAGAAACAGCCATAATTAGTAGATGCAGAAAAAATACTTGAGTTAAATAAATATATTACTTTAGATTTTCTTTACATTTCCTTTATACCTCTATTTCTAAATTAAGTAAATAATATATCTGTTTTATGACATTAATTCAAGAATATTTTAATTAGAAAATTCACCTGTCATAAAAGTAGTATTTATCTGTTACAAAAATATTTATCCAAGAAATATTAGATGAATATATATGAAGTTTATTTTAAGCTGATAAAGTAGCTATTCATTCCTATTATTACAAGATAATTTATAAATGTTTATCTTTACATGACATCAAATACTCTTTCAGATACATAAAAAACATGCTTATTTAACTTAGCATTTGAATTTTAAGAATACCATATGTACAAAAATATTCATCACAAAATAATTTTTTAAATGTCTATAATTATGCTACCCATCATATTAGGCATAATCACATATTATCCATTTTCCCAATATTTCAGAAATTGACAATTCATGATATTAGAGTGACTAACTGTATTAGTCCTCCTTACAAGTCATTTTTTATGTGAATGAAGTATAAAGATATTAGGTGAGTGACAGGAGTCTTGTTTACTTTAAATCCTAGAAATTTAGTTGTTTAGTATTTTATTAGTTGAAAGTATGCTCCACCCTAACTCATCAAAGCTCAAACTAAGCAGTACATTGATGAAGAACAGATTTTCTTTTAAAAGATGCATTTTATTTCTCAGTTTAATGGCTGTTTTCAAACAGCTTCAGAGGCACATGCTCTTTAAATACATTAAAATTCTGTGTATTTCTTGAGAATTAAAAGAAACGTGTATCACTGTATCAGTTATAACATGTAAACATGAGAAGAGCATATTTAAAGCTAATACATATTAATGACATTTATTTCAGACCTAAGGCGGCTGTTCTGGAAACTTTCCGTTGCTTGGTATTCCTAATGTTGTGTAAATTAGGTCATCTGAAGCCTTTCATTCCCTCTTTGTCATTTGGTTTTGAGGTAAGACATTTGTTTTAGGAGGCTATAGTGTGATTATACATCTATTGCATATTTAATCTGTTCATTCAACAATGTTTTTGTTTATTTTGTGACTAGTACTTGTGGGAAATTTAACCTATCCACTTACTTACCATACCGTATTAATTGTGTCACCTGGAGCCAGTTAATACTGTTGAGTTTCAGCTTTCTGGTTTTTAAATTTGCATTGATACCATTAACTTCATAGAATTGTTGGACAAGTTATAATGCATGATTTTGTAAAGAAAAATTAGGCCACATAGTTGGTTTTTTAGCAAGTAAAAAAATTACAGAAAGTTATTGACAGAGATTCTTCCATTTGAGATTTTTCTTTTTAGGCTTTTAAGGTAAAGATTTGATTAAAATGCCTTATCAATTATCCACAAGAGATGATGATGCTATAAAAATAAAACTATGGATGTTATTGAGATTTTTCTACAGCTGAAAAATATGATTTGACCTTCTGTGATGATTAAAACTTATCTTCCCAGAACTTCCAAAAAGTTGGGGGTATATGTTTATTATCTCAGGTCTTAAGCAACTGTTAAAAAATTTTTATTCTCATCACTAAACTTTTAATGGACATGGTTTTGTTCTTTTAAATTAAGGGTTTTATCATTTAACTTTGGTGCTGAGCAGCCTGCTAACATACCCAGAATATGCAATATGTGACCTTATTTAAACATGAAATGTAAAAGCAAACATGCTGCTAACGTCAGTGGAAAGACTAAAACAGGTGCTTTTATAATTTAGTAGCAATAGTAAATTGGAACAAACTCTTTGGAAAACAATTTGGTGCTACCATACAAGGCATATGAGTATAAAAATGAAGGAAGATATATGTATATATATATACACACACAGACACACACATAATCATAATGTGTGTTCTAGATTATATATATCTATATATCTGGAAAGATAAACTAGAATTTAATATATCGTTGCCTATGGGAAGGCAAATTGTGTGACTAGAAGAAAGAAATATGGGAAAGATTTTAACATTAAGTTAATATTCTTTACCACCTTTAAATTTCTGCACCACCTGAATATATTTCTTACTTTAAAAGTCATGTAAATTTAAGAAATTAGGTATAAAATATTAGTATCAGGATACTAGATATCATCCATCTAATACATTTTGCATTTAAATAGGCACTAAATAAAGTTTATATGACAGGTACTTATATTGTTTCTTGAGATTATAGCCTAAAAACAAAATGAGGAAATGTAATTTACACATATTTAATGAAATTTGGAAATACACATGCCAAAAAAATAAAATATTAAAATCAAATAGCATTTTCACACTCTAATGAGGAAAGATATAATTATATGTATGAAAGAAAATAATTCCACTAAGTGAATCTACTCTTGGGTATACTATGGTAGTTTATCTTAAATGCTCCAGAAGCAGAGAATGTGGGTTCTCTAAGGTAGCCATGGTATAAATAAGTGGGAATGTAGGGTTATAGAATGACATTGCATTTGGGGTTCTTTGATGATGGAATAGTGGAGAACAGTGTAGTATGTCCAGCTTTTGAATGTGATGAATTCTAGTGGTGAGATGCTGTCCATTTACTTATTTTAATTAATAGGTGAACTTGAGTGGCTAAGACCTGAGCTTTGAAACCACATTGCCTGAATTTGATTTCTAACTCAGAAACTTAATAGTATTTGTCAGCCTAAATATTATTTGTCTTGCATTCCTTGTCTATAAATGGCTGAAGTACTAAGGTCTATCTAATAGAATTTTGAGGATTAAAGGAGAATCTGCATAAGAGATCTAGCACATTGTGTAACATACAGTACATGCTCAATAAATACTAGATGGCATTCTTATCATTTTATATGAAATGAAAGATCCCATGGATTAATACTTTGGTTTGCCTCAGGATCCAAAAGTCAAGTTTGAGAACAACTGGCATAGAGGAGCAAATAATGTTGGACCTAAAAGTCATGATTATGAATTCTTAGACTAATGCTGGCCCTATGACGTGAGACTCTGTGCCTCACATTGTTTACCTGTAAAATAGGTTTGATGGGAGTTAACATGCACTGAGATTTTACTACGTTCTAAATGCCTTACTCCTTTTACTTCATTTAATCTTCCTATCAGTGTAATGGGGGTGTAGCTACTATTATTTTTATAATAAAAAAAATTGAGTTACAGAGAAGTTGAAAATCTGTCTGAATTAACATAACTAATAAGTGAACAAGTCAGGATACAAACTCAGTCTGATACTGTAACTCTTAATTATCTAGCAACATTTTCTTGCATATAATGATAGCAATACTCATCCACCTCAAGGAACTTAGATAAAAAATAGAGATGCAGTGTAGCAAAGCTACTTTGAAAAATGTAAAGACAAAAAAAAAAAGTTCTTATCAATTTGACTGCAAAAAATGTTTTGAAGACTAGTGGCTTCAATGTTACCTCTGAACTATCTTTAGTTTATGATTCAAGGGAGGGAAGACACAATGGCAAAATCTTTCAGGCTGCTCATCTACTCTTTCCAGAACCTGTCCTGTCCATCTAGACACACAGGCCACTGATTCTTCAAGAGTAAATATTGACTGTGATTTGCCAAGAAAACATTTCCTTAACATGGTGTGTTAATACTATCTGCTTACATGGTTTTGTGCAAAAATTTAACAACACAAAGGATAGCACGTAGAAGCACCTGATACATTTTGGTTACTATCCTTGTTTGTACTACTATTAGTACTCTATAATTAGATTATTATTGCTGCTATTATTACTAGAGTATTATCATCATCATTATTATTTTAACCATTGAATTCCCATTGGTAAAACTGAACAAGTCTTCTCTGACCAGAGGTCAATAACTGTATGGTAAAGACTGGGCAAGTACTTCCTTATCTACATTTTACCTGTGAACCAACCTTTTCTTCCATTTCTTTTTAGAGTTCAAGAAAAGTGTAAATTACTAGTCATCAATTTTTATGTTTTTTAATTTAAATTCAAAATTTTAAAAAACCTAGTTATCAGTTCTTAAATTCTTAATTGTGAATTTCATATTTGTGTTTTCCTTACATTAGAACTTTATGTAAATTTTTACTATTTATCATAGTATTAATAGAACTAATTCTTTGCCCCACATAAGGAGGATAAAAACCTAATAAATATGGCCTCAGTGACTACATTCAGTAGGAATCAGGGGTGATTATATTATAAGGACACAATGTTCTCATCATTTTTCTTTGAAGCTATCATTAGAATCAGTGTCATTGAAGCAGTTAATCCCTTCTTTTATAAATCAATGTTGTATATTTTGGCAACATCAGCTTGTAGCCCTGTGACTTTTCTCTATTTATCTAGAAGGCTTGTTGGAAGTTTTCCTGTTATACTGCTTCATTATGTAAGTCAGATGCCGTGGATTTGCACAGTAACTGTCCTTTTACGCTATGCCTGTACTCCTGGCTGTACCTACAGCTTTAAACAAATACATACAAGTACACAAGGAATGGAAAATTGATCTTCAACTTTTTATTTAGATTACAAAACAGTTCTTAGGTAATTACAATTCTGAGTCAGAAGTACGAAGTAGAATTTAACTTTGATCCTGTGACCAGTATGTGGAAGATTTATTCCCTTTAGCTTCTGTCCACAAGAATATGAAGAAAGGGAGTGGTGCTTGGACTATTTATAAATAGAATTAACTACTATAGAAATGTATAGTTGTTTATTTAAGTGTATGCAGTGGTTAGTCCATACCCTTGCATATTTCTTTAGCTAGGTCAGTTAATATTTTGACCACCAATTCATATACTTTTTTTTTTAAAGAAGATTATTTATTTCTTTGTTTGTTTGGAGATCATGAGCGGGAAGGGAGTGTGGTGCAGAGGGAGAGGGAGAGAGAATCTCAAGCAGACTCCACACAGAGCAGTGACCCTGATATGGGACTTGATCCTGTGACCCTGGGACTATGACCTAAGCTAAAATCCAAGAGTCCCACGCTCAACCTACTGAGCCACCCAGGTGCCCCAACCTTTTTCTTCTTTTACTTGCTTTGTCATTCATAGGAAATTTTTTAATTTTTAAAAATTTATTTTTTTCTTTAAAGACTTTATTTTCTTGAGAGTGAGAGAGCACATGAGACAGAGAGTGCATAAGAGAGTGAGCACGAGTGAGGGGAGGGAGTAGCAGAGGGAGAGGGAGAAGCAGACTCCTGTTACGATAAGTTATATCACTAAATGCTCTTTCAGTGCATCCCAAATATTGTTCTTTAATTTCTCTAGGAGTGTATAGTTTATAGAGGTGATTGGACAGGAAATGGTACTCTATGGAAGTTGATGGGAATTAGAAAGGATGGGGCTTCGGGGCACCTGGATGGCTCAGTGGGTTAAAGCCTCTGCCTTCAGCTCAGATCATGGTCTCAGGGTCCTGGGATCGAGCCTTGCATCGGGCTCTCTGCTTAGCGGGGAGCCTGCTTCCTCCTCTCTCCCTGCCTGCCTCCCTGCCTAGTTGTAATCTCTATCAAATAAATAAATAAAATCTAAAAAAAAAAAAAAGAAGAAGAAAAAGAAGAAAAAGAAGAAGAAAAAGATGGGGCTTTATTGACCCAGTTGTCTATGTTATGATTCTGGGCTTTTTTTTTTTTTTTTAAGATTTTATTTATTTATTTGCGAGAGAGACAGAGATAGTGACAGAGACAGCAAGGGAGAGAGCACAAACAGGGAGGAGAGGTAGAAGCAGACTCCTCAATGAGTGGGAGTCTGACTCAGCACTCGATCCCAGGACCCTGAGAACATGACCTGAGCTGAAGGCAGATGCTTAACTGACTGAGTCACCCAGGCACCCCTATTTTTTTAAGCATTTTTTTTTAAGATTTTATTTATTTATTTGACAGAGATCACAAGTAGGCAGAGAGGCAGGCAGAGAGAGGGCGAAGCAGGCTCTCTGCTAAGCGGAGAGCCCAATGTGGGGCTCAGTCCCAGGACCCTGGGATCATGACCTGAGCCGAAGGCAGAGGCTTTAACCCACTGAGCCACCCAGGCACCCTTATTTTTTTACTTTTTTAAGATTTTATTTATTCATTGAAGGGAGTAGAGGAGCAGAGGATGAGGGAGAA